GTGTGTGTGTGTGTGTGTGTGGAGGACTCAGGTGTGTGTGTGTGGAGGACTCAGGTGTGTGTGTGTGGAGGACTCAGGTGTGTGTGTGTGTGTGGAGGACTCAGGTGTGTGTGTGTGTGTTTCAGAGGAGTGTGTGGCGAGGTGCGGCTGGCCTTTGAGCGCTCCACCTGCAGGAAGGTCGCGGTGAAAATCATCAACAAGAAGAACTTCCCGTCTGAGGGGGTGAGTCGTCTCGTCTCTGCGCTCTGATTGGCCGAGTCCTCGGTCTTGTCCTCTCGTTGTCCTGCTGGAGGTCAAAGGTGACTTCGGGACTACAAACATGGCGTCTGATAGTTGAGACACGTTGACGGGCTGAGGGAGGCGATCATGTGACCTGGTTTTTTTTTTGTCCAATCACAGACGGCGACTCGAAACACCGAGATGGAGCTGAAGATCCTGCAGAAGGTCGACCATGTGAGTAAAAGCAACGAAGAAGAAGAGGCAAAATGAAGCAAACGTCCTTCATCGTCCATAACCGTCTCCTCTGTCCTCGTCCACTCTGTGATGCTCTTACCTGTTTCTGTCCTCTCTTTTTCCTGCTTCCTCGTTTCCTGTCCTGTTTCCTTCCCTCTCGTGTCCTTTGCTGTCTCTCCTGCCTCCTTGTCTCCTGCAGCCTTGTCTCATTAAGACGGATGACTTTTATCAGACGGAGGACAGTTATTACATCGTGCTGGAGCTGTGAGTCACCTGTCTGTCTCTCTGTGTTTGAGTGTGTTCCTGGTGTCAAGCTGAGGTCCCCGTGTGTCCCCGTGTCTCTATGTCCCCGTGTGTCCCCGTGTCTCTGTCAGGATGGAGGGCGGTGAACTCTTCCACAGAATCAAATCTCGGCAGCAGCTGAAAGAAGACGTCGCCAAACTTTACTTCTATCAGATGCTCTGCGCCGTACAGGTGAGGCTGCCGGCCGTTGCTACGGTAACCGCCCAGCGCCGGGTTCTGCCCTGCAGGTAACCCTGTAGGTGAGGTAACCCTTCATGTTTGCTCAGTATCTCCACGGTAACGGGATCATCCATCGGGACCTGAAGCCGGAGAATATTCTGCTGGCGTCCAACGAAGACGACTGTCTCATCAAGGTAGACCTGCTCCTCTTCATCGTCTTCGTCTCCCTCATCATGTTCACGTTGTTGTTATACGTTGTGTATATTATATATATATACATAGTATTTATACTAAATTTGAGTATTTATTGAAGTACCATTTTGAAGAGATTTTAATCAGTTCATTCAACTTGTGTTTTATAAATAAACTTAAAAACCTCAGCAGATTTTTGAGTCAGTGCTTCAATTATTTTGTGAAACGTCTTTTTGTCTTGTGTCATTTGAACTCTGTGATGATGAAGAGGAGGAGGAAGGAAGCGCTGTAGTTCACAGCACTTGTGATTTTAGGACAAACATTTGTTTGTTTGTTTGTTGACACCTGTGTGTCAGGTGACGGACTTCAGCCTGTCCAGGATCCTGGAGGAGACCTCCCTCATGAGGACTCTGTGTGGGACTCCGTCCTACCTGGCTCCTGAAGTCTTCACCAACGCCTCCACCACCGGCTACGGGCTCGCCGCCGACGCCTGGAGCCTGGGAGTCCTGCTGTTTGTGTGGTAGGCTCCACCCCCTCGGGCACACCTGTCTCACCTGTTGGAGAGGTTCCTCTGAGCCGTCTGTCTGTTCCTCAGCCTGAGCGGTTACGCTCCGTTCCATGAGAACTTCAGCCAACGTTCAGTCACAGAGCAGATCATCCGAGGAGAGTTCACCATGGTTCCTGCCAAGTGGACACACGTCTCCAATCAAGGTACCACCAGAACCTTCCTGCAGCAGCCGGCTCCTTGTACTCTGGCCCGCTTCGATCAGAACCTGCCATTTGTCTGAATCGAGTGCTGCAATGTTCCTTTGACGTTCCTTCGATGTTCCTTTGACGTTCCTTTGATGTTCCTTCGATGTTCCTTTGACGTTCCTTCAATGTTCCTTCAATGTTCCTTCAATGTTCCTTTGACGTTCCTTCGATGTTCCTTTGACGTTCCTTTGATGTTCCTTTGATGTTCCTTCGACGTTCCTTCGGTCCAACTCGGTTCTTCTCTCTGTTTCAGCTAAAGACATGGTGAGGAAGCTGCTTGTGGTCGAGCCCACCAAGAGGATGACTGTTGATGAAGCTCTGCAACACCCCTGGTTACAGGTACTACTGCGGCCGCAAGACCACTGCAGGAGTACTAGTACAGGAGTACTGCAACAGGAGTATTGCAGGAGTACTATGGGAGTACTAATAAAGGAGTACTATAAATTCAATTTAAATTCTATTCAGTTTATTTATATAGCACCAAGTCACAACAGATGTCATCTCAGAGAACTGTACTAGGAATACTGCAGGAGTACTAGTACAGGAGTACTGCAGGAATACTGCCAGAGTAGTAATACAGTTGTATTGACAAATACTAGTACAGATGTACTGAAGGAGCACAAGGATGAGTACTAAAGCAGGAACACTAGAGCAGGGATACAACAGTAGAAGTACTACAGCAGTAGTATTTTCGCAGTAAATTCACAAATACAGTAGCCCCTCGCTACTTCGTGGCTCGACTTTCGTGGTTTTTCAAAGTGAAATTGGACACGACACACAACTGATTGATGGACGAGCTGCACGAGTGGCATGGATTGTTTATTTAAAATAAATTATTGTAAATTATTTAGCACCTGCTAAATCATTAGGTGCAGGGAAGCTCCGCCTGCTTCGTCATGCTCTCTGCCACGCCCACATCAGCTTTGTGGAGGGTTAACCCTTTGCTGTCCTGCAGCACTTCTCTTCTCGATCCACCAGCAGTCACATGTTGAAGTGTCTCAGGACAAGACCCTGAACCCCTGGATGCCTCTGAAGTGTGTCCATCAGTGAGTGTGATGAAGCTCTGATCAGACTCTGCACAATGATTTGTTCACTTATCTCTGTAGACATCTAGCAGAGCGCTGTGGGAATGGGTGAATGTTGTGAAGAGCTTTGAGTGTCTTGATAAGACAAAGGCGCTATATAAATGCAGCCCATTTACAATTTAAATTTAAATACTGTAATATTTAAAAAAAACAATCGTGCTGCATGGATTGTTTTTTCATTCAAGCTTTATTTCTACAGGTTAGTCCCATTGAGCCTCGGAGACTCATTTACACAGAGACCTGGTTTAAACAAAGAATGATCACAACAACAGACAATCACAAAAGAGGCATACTTTTTTTTTTTTTTCAAAATAAAATAAAATAGCAAACAAAAGGACAGTCAAAATGAAAAAAGTAGCGGAAAAAACATCTAGATTATAAGATGGTGTAGAATCTAAAAACAGGAACTTATCAGATGTTTGAAGCCACTTAGAGAGGTCAAAGGTCGAGAGCTTCAGGTCTTTTTACAAGATATTCCAGGAACCAGGAGCGGAGCAGGAGAAGGTCCTTTTGTCTAGTTCAGTCCTCACTGAGGGAACACTGCAGGTAATGATGTCCTGAGAGCGCACGCTGTAGCTGCACTCACACAGAGATTTAAAATATTAGTTTATAGTTTATTTAAAATATGACCGTATTTAAAATGTTTATTTACACAGAAAGAGGGAGCTGGGGAGGTGATGAGTGTGATCGCAGCAGAGAAGTGGGCATGGCAGAGAGCGGAGATCATGACATTCTGTCTCTTTTAAACTTTTAGAGTTTAGAAACGTTGTTTAGAATATTGCAAGAGTGTGGGAAGGGTTTAATACACCTTTATACACAAATAACTATATATATAGATATATAGATATTCATTCAACCGTAATTTAGACAGGTAAATCCCATTGAATCTCAAGGACTCATTTACG